ATCGTCGGAGTTCTATCGCAAAGGCATTAATAACCTTCCCATTAGATTTCAGCAATGTATAGATAATAATGGTAACTATTTTGATTAAATAAATTTGTTAAAAATTTAAAAAATAAACAATTTAGATTTTCAGTACAAATCGGCAATTTCATACTTTAACCCCTATTATATATAAAAGAAATATTATAATTTGAAATATATACGTAAATTACACAAAATAAATAAATACAAGGACTAAATTTTTATATTATTTGTAATAAATGAATGTAATAAATTATAATAGAGAATAGGATACATAAGGAGGCATGACACACGGGTAGGTAAAGGAACATGTAAAGATAGGAGTTGTTGGAGGAAGAAGGAACGGTCAAATCGGGAACAAGATAAAAAGATGTGATCTAGGTCCCCCACATCATCACCACACTCGCATAAATCGCTGTCTATAATATGAAGTCTAGCTAGCTGGAAAGGAATGCATGTATGTCCAAGACGCATACGAGTAATTATAGAAGTAGAGCGGTTGACTGACTTTATCTTAAAAAAACCATGGCTTTATGCGAATGTGAGGTTGAATATTAAAGTTAAATCTACCTTTCGATCGAGCATTCTCTTCCCAAAGTTTATTCCAGGACTCCTGAGGATAAACTCTGGGCAGAGCAACCAAGTCATGGCTATAATTTTTGTAAGGGACCATATCTCCACAGGTAGAAGCAGCCTTAACTAACTGATCTGATGGTGACTGGGGATCAACGCAAAAATAACAGAGTAGCCTCTAGCTTTACAGTGTAACAATTTTTCCCTTATTTCGTAAATTATAGGATAGTAGGGTTTCATTTTAAAAGGAAATTTCTCAAGGGTTTGCAAAGCACTTTTGAGTCTGAAAAAAACAATAGTTTTACTCAAATTGCCTATAAGTGTATAATATTGTACTGCCCTAAGCAGACCGAAGCATTCACCTGTAAACACGGAAGTTCCGAGGGAAGCTTATCCTGTTGTATTATTTTGTATTGGTTGTGTATTACCCCAACTCCTACACATTGGTCACTGGACATTTTCGACGCATCAGTGTATATGTGATGCCACTCGCTCCAATTTTCATTGACTTTAAAATTAAATTGAGTATTAACCTCTATATCACGTTTGTCAATACCTACGTTATAACATATATTTGGGACTATTAATAACGACTCGAAATCAGACATGAACAGTGCTAGAGAAGGAGATCGACACGTGTTTGAACAGTGTGAATTTTACGAAAACTTTGGATGTGACATGGAATAATTTTATGAATCCAATAGCGAGATGACAGAATATAATCATTTAAAGTATGAAGTTTAATAAGAAGCTGATGATTAGAAAATTGCATAGCCCCTATGAGAAATCTGTCACTCAAAAATTGTCTTCTAAGATGGAGTGGATGGTCGCCACATCCCACCAGAGCATTGATCGGGCTTGATTTCATAGCGCCTGTCACAATTCTAAGAGCCTTTGACTGAATAGAGTCCAGTTTTTTAAGTCCTGCAAGACTACCTCCTACCAGTAGAAACGTGGCATAATCTAGCACACTTCTAATCACTGCATTAGAAAGAAGTTTCATAAGAATGGATGGGCCCCCCACCACAGACAGACATCTCATCATGTTTAAGAGTTTTTCACATTTAGAACTTATAAACTCAAAGTGAGGAAGACTTTTATTATTAAAGTTAAAGTAGAAGAGTTAGTTTATTATCTAATATAATATCCAAAAATTTGGCATGATTTTTAAAGCGTAAGGGCAAATTACAGTTACAGGAGGGATTGATCGCATTCTTGAGAAAACTACCACATCACTTTTAGCAATTGATAGTTTTAAGCCCGTTTCTATCCAACCACTGTCTTAACAAGGTCAGAGAGTGTGTTAAAATATTGCAAGAATTATCCAAGTTAGCATAGTAGCATATTGTAAAATATTAACAGTATTACCATTAAGAAACGATTCTAAATCATATACGTAAATGTTATATAGGAATGAACTAAGGACTGAAACTTGGGGTAAACCTTTATATACAGTGCGGGAAATTTTTGAATTATGGGATATTAGTGATATAACTCTTTCGGATAGATGATTAATAATGAAGTTAATCAGAGTATAAGGAACACATAATTTCATAAGTTTTCGTTTAAGGATGGAGATTATGACGTTATACGATAAAGCAAAAAGCTGATATATCTAAAAAAGCTGCTACAACGCACTTATTGCAAGAGAAGGCTATTCGGAAATCAGTGGTGAGAATACTGATACTGTCTAATGCACTTTTTTCCTTCCGAAATCCAAACTGGCTGTCAGTCAACTTTCTATTATTCTCAATAAACCACTCAAGACGATTTTTAACAAGGTGTTCTGATGTCTTGCATAATACAGACGACAGAGCTATAGGTCTGTACGATGCTGCATGAGGCTGTCAGAGGGCTTGTTAGGTTTTAAAATAGGTAGAACTTCTTGAGATCTCCATGAAAGTGGAACGTTACCAGACAGCATAATGTTGTTAATTAAATGTAAATAATATTCTAATGAAGGGTCACTTAAATGTGATACAAAGGAGTATGGTATATTATCTTCTCCCGGGGCGAATCCTTGACGGATGAAAGAACTCCTTTTAACTCGGAAATAGAGAAGGGTGAATCTAAATAGAAATCAATTGAATTGGTTACAGAATTAGGAGAAAGCAATAGCTCTCCCTCAGGGTCAGAAGGCGGGGCCAACCGGTCCAAAAAGTTGTCTGCTATAGATGATGAAAGAGTAGTACATAACTGATGATTGAATGTAGATCTGAAACGTTTTATGTTACGCCAAATTAATGATGGGCAGGTATTCGGAGATAGTGATGTACAAAATGTCTTCCAGTCTTGTTGTTTTTTCTCACGGAGTAATTCGTAAGTGGATTTGATAGTATCTTGTAAAATTTTTAAGTTTTCATCAGACATAATCTGCGCATACTCTTTCTTTACCATTTTCCTCCTACATACAGCTTTAACACATTGAGCATCCCACCATGGCGGAAAAGGAATCTTCCTCGAATAAGTATCCTTAATGGGAAACAATTGATCTGCTACATCTATTAAGCACTTTGCAAATTCCACAGCTCTTTCAGATTCTGCGCCAGCGACATTATTCGGGAGTTCAGAAATTCTACGTTCAACCATAGTTTTAAATGTAATCCAATCAACATTATGTCGTTTAAGCTTTAAACGAGGCTTACGTCTAGGAGCAGCTTTGTTTTTAATAAGAGTCGCATAATCAAAGGGAAATGATCATTGCCAAAAGAGTAAGGAAGGGGAAGACCAAGACATGAAAGAAGCCAAAGACGGAGTACAAATAGCCAAGTCAACAACGCTAATGTTTACGTTGGGGTTTGTGCGTCGAGCTGGAACACCAGTATTTAACACACAGGGGTTAAGGGTATCTAACATTTCTAGTAAAGATTTCCCAGCACTATTAGTTACTCAACTGCCCCACGAACGATGGTGGCATTTAAAATCTCCAAGAACCAAAAATGGTCGTCAGAGACTAATTAAAATGTTATTATTTTCATTGAAAACCGAATCAGAGGGACGAGAAAGGTAAATGGTAACAATTGAAATATTTTCAATACAAATACCTACAATATTTATATTATCAGAATTTCGACAAGAAAAACGTACACGGGAAAATGGAACAGAGTTTTTGACGAGAATGGCAACACCGCCATATCCGTCAGATCTGTCATCACGTAAATAAGAAAAGCCAGAAATTCTAAAATTAAAATCTGGTTTCATCCAAGTTTCTGATACAGCTATAACTAAAAGGTTATATTTATTAACAATATAAATTAAGTCACTTTTTTTACCACTTTTTTTTTTCACAACCTACTGGAACAGACACATTTTATTGAATTTCATCTACGGTCCAATCATTAGGAATACTACGAATAAGACCCATCCTGGTAATACTGAAAGTGGGAATGAATGCTTTGAAATTAGACTTTGGCAAATTTTTATTAGTAATAAAATCATTGGCAGCATTGTAAGTAGAGAAAGCCACAGCGCATCGATTTCTACCTATTTGCTTAACACTGCCGAGGCAATGTTTTGGATATTATTTTTCTTTAGAAAGTTTCCAAAAGCCATTGGATGCAGAGTAGTTCCACTATTTGGAGAAGATTCTATTCTCTGAACATGAACAACATATGGTTACACATCTGTAGGAAGGTACTCCTTCCGACCAAAAGATTTTTGTATGGTTTCTGTAGAAACTGTTGGTTGAGTATTTGATACAGGAGGTTGAACAGTCATCGGTTTAACAAAGGTTTGTGGAGTAGTGACATTTAATTTGTGGGTGTGGGATTCCTCATTCAGATCAATTGAATTATTATGGCAAATACAATATTAAACTTTATTATCAGTTGAATCGGCCTTCTTCCTTCGTTTATCACAATGTCTGCAAATTTTAAGTTGATAACGTCGTTTACGTGATCCTTTACCCATTGATGCAGAGACACTAGATGTATCCGTGTCCATACCACTCTGATCATCATTTGAAACAGTAACAGTTGTGGCGGTGTGATCTCCTTACACCGTCATCTCACCTCTTTGTATTGTCTCTCTCCGCTTGTATCCTATCATTTTTTATTTTACATGTATTTAAATTTTAAATTTGAATTGTTCCATCTTTCTTCACTTTCTCATTTTGTTTTCGTACCACGGTCACTCCCAGCTCGACCGCCACAACAGCCAGAGCTGTTCCAAATTCCATCGCGAATAATCACTAATTCTGGTTCTTTTCTACGTTTGTAATCATTTAATAAGCTAAATCATGTATAATATTTTATAAGCCTACAGCCTTCGTGTACCTAAATCTGTAAATTCAGTTACTCGGCCCATTTAGGGGTAAGTGCCTTAATAATAAGTGTAGGGAGTGTTTTATAATGTTGTACCTGTTTTTTTACATTTACCTTTTTATTGTTACAGCCCTTTCTTGAAACTTTACTTCTTTAATAAATTTTGTGGACCGGAAGTTTCCCACTTCACTGCCGTGAACCTGTTCATGGCTAGTTAGGGTTACAACCCTTTTCACAGTGTTGTTCAAATCATTATCCGAAAAAGTGATATAACTTGCAACAGGGGGATTCAGGCCTGAGCCCAAACCCTCCCGCGTCGAAGTCAGGAGGGTCGTCCATTCAACGACTATCAAATGAAAAAAATGTACAAACTTACCAGAATTACAGGAAGAAACCGAAAGATTACAGTTATGTAAACTAACTACAACAAGTATTTACAAATTATAGCCTCAACTGATCAATTATTACAGTAAAAACAAGATAATTTTTTCCTTGTGAGAAACTCTCGCGCTTCGTACGAAGTTTCCCGCGCTTTTTTCTCAATGTCTATCTCTTTTCAAGACGGCGTAAAATGACATTTGTAGGGTTGCCAGTTTTCATAAAATTTTAAATATAATATGATATGTATATGAATCTTAGAGGATGGAAAAAAATAGTTTCCATAGTCTAAGATATGAATCTTAGAGGATGGAAATTAGTTTCCATAGTCTAAGATATGAATAAACATTGATCTCGATACTAATAGGCCAACTGTCAAAATAAAAACAAAGAAGGTTATAAAGCAATTATATAGTAATCATTGGAATGTCGTAACATTCACAATTCAGTAACTATTGGGAAAATTTTAGCTTCTATATATATATATAGCAAAGCTGTTGTCGATAGTTTTATCGATAGATTGTGAAAGAAGCTAAAATTTTTCCAATAATAACTGAATTGTGAATGTTACGACATTCCAATGATTACTAATTGCTTTATAACCTTCTTTGTTCTTATTTTGACAGTTGGCCTATTAGTATCGAGATCAATTTTTATTCATATACATTTTAACAAGTATGGCCGGATTTGATTATCTATTTTGAGTTAAAATTAAAATCTTTAAAATATGTCTCCTCTTTCAATTTTTCGTAAGAATAATTTTAAATAGAGGTTCTACATATTATAAATGAACTTACAAAAATTGACAATTCAAATCAACTTCTACTGCAGTAACTAGATGAATAAATTGATCGAGGATGATTCAAATGAACAATTTCGGCTATTTGTTCCATAAACGTGACCAGTATTCAGTCGATAGTCGATAGAATATTTATTGATTGCAATCACTGGCTGTTCGTAAGCAGGCAACACTTGTGTGCAATGAACTGTCATTTTAAACGGTCCATTCACGACCTGTAAGGCAATCCGCCTCACACACTATCCTACGTATGGCCCATGTATGGAGTCTCGCAGGACGCATTGCCGGCTTGCACACTGCGATTGCTGCGACTACATTCATAATCCTGCATTACGCAGCAAATGGCAAGGCGGACTGCAATGCAGGACAGTGAATGCCCCCTTTTACTCCGTCTTCAAAAAGACATTACAATCAGACTAATCACTCTGATAGTTTCTGCGTCGAGTATGACCACGAAAATTAGAATTTTCACTGCATAAATATTAAGTTTTTACACGTTTTCGTTACATACGATTGACATGATTACGTATAATGCCAGGAAACTCAACATACTTTACTTGGTCACTGATATAACGCATTAAAATCGAGCTTTTTCTTGCAGGGGGATGTTTGCGCGTATTTGAGACGATTCACTACTCTACACTATTCATTGTGCATAAGCTCTAAATGCTTAATAATGTAATAATAATAATGAAATTAAATCGTCCAGTTACTGATTTTTCACAAACGTACTTATTTTTTTAAGGATTTAAGCGTTTAAAGTAAGTAAACGTTTACAAGTTATAATAAAAAAGAACGAAAATGTAACTTACAGCAAAAATACTTTTCAGAAAGAAAACGTATTATTAATTTCGACTCCTCAACTGCCGTGGCAACACTGCGTCATAATCTAACTAAAATTAGGGTGAATTTACAATGCACAAATTCTAACAATATATTGCCGCAGTTTATCGCGTTGCGCGATATGATCTTGAGTTCCAGTTCTTGAGACCAATCAAGAGCTGCGACATTTAAAAGCTTGTTGTTTCAGGTAAGCTCACATACCACATAAATGGGTAAACTTTTTGTCGCAAAACGCGGCAATATGAGCGATGAACCCGACATACGGCACACAGTCGTATGGCGGGATACTTTTTTCGTTATAATTTAATGCGTTGTTTGTAGATGGAATTTTAAGTTACTTAGGTGGATTTAACGGACTCCGCATTCTAGCTGCTTAATATTAAAAATAAATTGCCGGTGAGTGCTTTGTATTGCAAAAATTAGTATTTTTATGACTTTAAAATAGTTATTTGTCTGTCTGTAAATGATGTATATAACTAACGTCTTTCCTCTTTTCAATAAATACAACGCCAAAAATTAAATAGGTACTTATGTTCACTAATAAGACATAAAAACTTCGTTAAATACCTTAGACTTTATTTTTTTCCATCCTCTAAGTTAAATACTCCAACAAAACTCACAAACGTCAAAAATACAAAGTCTAACAACAACTATTGTGCACTCGCGATCAAATCGCACTCCGCGATTGCCATCGCAATGCCTTAAATTGCCGCAATTCTATTGTGTCTCATTTCTGTATTGTGAATTTACCTTAACGCAATCATTGACCTACCAAAACGCAGTGAACGAAAATACTGCTTTAATTTTACATTTTACGTGTAATATTTTCGTTTTATAATATTTGCGATCATCATTTTGACGATTGGCTCAATTGTCAAACTACCCAGAGCCGTAAAAACCAACAAAAAAACTTCGAAATGACAGACAGGCAGTACTGCCAACTTTACAACGACAACTAAACTAGCCACATAGGTTTGCGAATGCGATCGATTGCGAGAAGTAGTTGTATGCGGTAGTTAGCGCTCGGTGGGTTCAAAAAATGGCTCTATTCAGGATTACTACCACGAAATTAGTTGAGGTGCAGGTGAGTAGTGTTCGCGTATTAGAAGTTTTTTTAATTCAATAATTGCGTAGATTTATTTGCTGATTCGGTGGCAAATGCCCTACCAATTCCTAACCTACTTCATCCCATTTTGAGTTTTCAAGTTATGTAATGTGAATAAAAACTATTCTGGGAATGAATGCACATATTGTGTATGATGATGGGTAACGAAGTAGTTAGCTTTTACGGGATAATAAAGGTGGTTGTTGTTAGTGGTAACCGGTGTCCGAGATGCACGCCGCTCTGTTTCGCCACTCGTGTTTTTGTTTCAACGCGCGTAACTTTTTGCCTTTATTGTCAAGAATCTATATCTATTTAACGGTATGAAAAATTACTCGCCTATCGATAATTAATATAAGCTAAGTTGAGTTCCATCAGAAGTATTCAACTTGATGTTTGACGTGGACTTTATTACAGTGCGCCTAATTCTAAGTTAAGGTTACGTTCGGTTAGAATTGTAGGTTCACCTTTTGCTTGATGTTCTGTTACAACTTTCAGCAGATGCTAGGTGATAGCTTTGTTACTAACATGGAAAACTTTTTACATATATATTTAAAATATTTTATTTACTTATATCTACTTCATTTCAGACACTGTAATGTACCTGTAAAAGATTTTGGTAACCTAAGATTAATGCAAAATGAAAATATGTATGTTTTGCAGAATTTGTACTTCATTTTGGTATCAAAGTACAGCAATATTAATCATAATTCATATTAATGTGTGAATAGTAATAATGTGCCAGTGTGTTTTATTTTTTAACCATTGGAGTAGTTAACCTGTTAATTTATGTGCTAGTTAAAATTGTAACTCATCTAAATAAGTTAATCGATAGTATTTATAAATGCAAACTGTCTAGCTACCATATGAGGTCCAAATTTAATAGATATTAATTTATGATACCCATTCAGCTCATTAAACTTTGTTCACAAATGAATATCTGCTTAATGATTTTCACACAGCAAGAATTGAAATACCTGCATATAAACCAAAGTATATGAAACAAAGCCTAAGTACATGTTAATTCAATTGTGTTTAAATAAGCAGGCAATTTGCGTAACCATAACTTTAACTAAACTTTAACAGTATATGTATAAGTAATGGTAGGCACTAGTATTTGGATGTTTGTTTAAACTAAACTGGCAAGTTTCTTGATTACTAAATCATTGCTATATTTGTATTGAAGTATATTTTCCTTTTAACGCAAAGTGAGGTTGCCCATTATGAAATTGTCTAGTTGAGTGGATTAGCACAAAATGTGGTACAGTAGCAATGGCCCTGAGACTTAACTGTGTCAGTGTCATCCCCGGTAACGTCGTGCTGCTGTGATAATCGGAATGTCACTTAAATGTTCGCATCACGTGGACGCGTACTATACGCTAGCGCCGTCCCGTGATATGTAAATCTGCTCGTACGTGACAGTGATAAGTCGTTAAGACCGCTCAGCGATTGTTTTACTTCATTACGGGATTTTCCTCGAGCTACACTCGAAATGCGTCACGAATGCTCATCGGGTCATACGTCATACGGAAGTTAATAATATTCTTTAAGCACTCTTGGCTGACATTTCGGCCTGGTGTACGTACAGAGGGCACGTCTTTGATAGGTCGTTGGGAAATGTGGCGATGTACGCGCCGGTTATCGTAGGCTACGTAACGCAGCTATCCCCAATGACATTCATTCGCAATGCGTGTCCTCTATGCTTTGCTAAAGATAACCAGGCAGGTCATCGCAGCTCGCCTCGGGCACTCGCCCAACAACCCGTTACTTTTGGAGTAGTTAGTATAGCGTATACCATAACCACGCGCACATATAAGTCGAAAACATCAAAATTTATGGCAATTCAAGATAAGACTGAAAAATCTAAAACACGTCTGACTGATAATAACACGTTCACGGCCACGTCCAGTCGTGGCTTCGGAACAATGTAATTTTCGGAAACGTACATCTTTGCGTGATAAATGAATAGTTTGTACACTTGTGCAAATAATAAATTAATGCTGTTTGTAATCTCAATCTATACTATATCGTGTGTATATTTTATTACGACAATCCGTTGCGGACTTTTGGAAAACTGTATTCATACAAGATTATTAGTAATCTTCTGAAATGAGATTAGTAATCTTCTGGGTTACGTATTGATATTATGAAATTTTAAGACTTTTACAAAGTAAACTATTGTTTAGAACAATAATACAAAGTAAACTAAACGTAAGTTGTGAGACTATAACTACCATAAAATATGTTAAATGCATGCGAAGGTTCGACACACGTGATTTACTGGCACTTGTTACTGACGTAACGCTGCTGTGATTAGGTGCGAGTAGATTAGTATTATCTTATAGACAGTAAATTCTGCAAACCGGGATATTGTGGTAACTGATTAGCTAATGTGATAACAGATGCAATATGGATTTATATAATTTATATCTTTATTGACATATATGGCATTTGTCAAAACGTTGTCTCAGGTTTGGCGTTATCAGTATTGTTTTGGTCTTAAACGTTTGTGCATCTTTCGTAATGGTTTTTTTGTTAACACATTTTACGTAGCTATGAATACTAATAAGTACCAAGTAGCAGCACCGTCCACGTCACTACATAATCGAACTCTTGACTCATACTGCTTTCATTAACATTAGAATGATTAATTAAAACGTTGATTTGTAGGCTCGCTCAGGGTGTCAGTCACATAATGCACAAGTACTTAACAAAGAATGTTCATGGCTTTATTGTCTTTTTAAATTGAATCCGATCTTAGCATTGAGCTTTAGTGGAGTACTGCCGTCTCCAGTTCTATAGTGCATTAGTCGACCAGAGAGCGAAAGCGTGAAATTAATTTCTAAAGTTAGGTGCGGAGAGCTCTTGTAACGTCGGTTTGCAAACCAAAGTGTTCGCCTCGTCAGTATTAAACGTCTGGTGTCTGGTGGCGTCGGTTATATAACTCCACTGTAGGTTATTCTTATTTCAGTCAGTGTATTGAGCCACAACATTATCTATGCATGTGAACTGGATTACATTTGTTTAGAAAATAACTATATTCATTTATAGTTAGCCACACAATCAATGATGTAATAGTTGATTCTATTAGTATACAAGAGAATTGATATGCACGTGTTATAATTTACAATGTCTTTATCGCCTCAATGTCGTCTATAACTCGAAAATCTTAATTAAAATAACTTTAAAAACTTTTATTTAAAATTGTTATCAAAAGTGGAAATTTTGGTCCAAAATAAGTATGTTATAGAATAAGTCCACTTCTTTACAATAAATAAATCGTCTAGTATTGTCTAGTATAAATTTTCAACACTTCTGAGAAACCTATTAGATTTACAAGGAGCAATGTCAAGCCGGTGAGTGCTAAACGGGCATTGCGGTAGAAGTTCGACAATAAACAAGCCGCACATATCGTGACGCAAACTGCAAATATAGAACCTTTGGATGTTTTTACCTCACCGCGATGCGTTTTTAATTCTTCTTCTTATTACGTCCCAGTTATCAGTTTTATGATAATATCGAGACAAGGGTAATCATCATCACATATGGGGTAGACAAATTATATCTATCCTTAAGGTTGTAAACAGCTGTTTGCTAATCAATTCGTCGCCGTGGAGTGTGCAACTGTTCTGAAATATTGAAAGAATAAAAAAAAAATCTGTCCTGAGAAAACAGTAATACGTAATAATTTCCTTAAAAAATGCATGGAATGTATTTTTTTTTAAATAACATAATTTACAAATCGACCTCGTAATACTTCGTAACGCCCGTAGGACTACGGAATACCTTGAGATAATTATTTTCCTCGTCATTATTCAGTAAGGAAAACAGAGACTTCTTTTACGGTTTTTTTTGCATTCCAGTGCTTACCAGATTTAGCCACGTGGTTCGTTGTTTGGCGCTTGATTACGAAATTCTCTTTCATTTGTCATATATATTTAGGCAACATTCAGGTTTATCTCTAGCAAGGAACAAGTTTAGGAACAATACCTTTTTGGTGGGAATTACTTTATAAGTATTGGTTTTACTAAAAAAAGGTACACGAATATTTTGTAATACTTTTCCTTGTTGAGGTAATGAAAACGTGTATTGAGACGTTTTTATTCGTTAAACCAGTTTTGAAAACTGTTTAAAAACGTTTTTGTGGAATGTCGTTAAAAAGTCGGTTAAATTCATTTACAGTTTCATTTGCGCTGGAAAAAGTGCTGCCACACATGTTTCTTTATAGGTAATCAATACTTTGTTACATATCATAATGTTATAAACAAGGTGGTAGGTAATGTGAATGAAGATTAAAATGGATCATTACAGTTGGAAACAAAAGAATAAAAAGGGTCCAGGTCAGGTCGTTTTTAAACACTCATTGCGAAGACTCCTGTTTTATTAGTGGACCATAAAAATAAATCCAGGACTCGTTACTATTATATGTTATTTACTGGGAGCTATCTACATAAAAAAATTCTAGCATAAACTTGCACCAGTCCATTCTACGAGATAATTATCGACCTTCCTAAATTTAAGGTGGTCACGTAGTACGGTTTATAAAGCTGCCTGTGTTCCTTCTGTATCTGAATCTCTCGGTCTGTGATGTGCCTGCTTTCTTTTCCTAACCACCCCAATTTGATTTTCATAAATCTCTGCATTCGATGGACTCTCATCTTTGACAATCTTCTATTAAATTCACGAAAGTAATAAAAACAGTGGCTTGCGAAGAGATTGACCTTTCGTATTAAATCTTCGTAATAAACAAGTGATTATTCACGGGCCACTTCATAAGATCATTGACTTAGATGGCTACTTGCAAAATTTGCTTGACATTTCTTATTTTTGGTGTACAAATTGTAGTCTATGTAGACTGTATGTCTCCTCTCAGTGAATTCTGTTGAAATTTACCGGTTAACTTTTGAGTAAAAACTCGTGTGTTCCTTAACTTGACATTGGCGAAATCATTGATTACTTCGATGAGGCCACAACATTTAAAAGAAGAAGTGAGTATTGTATTTGATAGTGCTCCTCCGGCTGAACTGATTTTAATATTTTAAAAAAGGTTGTTATTAAATTATATATAATGTGGAAATAAAATACAACAAGACATTAAGAGCGTTCTACGAGGCGACAAAATAAATTTGAAAAAGTAACTCTCAATGTCACATCGGCCCATATATAAAAGATTGCACATTCATACTCTGACACTGCTCCTCATTTATTTACACCTGGCTTTACTGACACTATCAAGAAACCTTGTCAGATTTGAATACTCAGTACACACCCATTTCTATAAGCTACGGCAAAACTAATACTTGCCCTTTAACACTGCTTTCGTCAAATCATCAGCAACCATACACTTGGTTTCTAAATACTTAAGCTTTGTAGTATGCTTTTCTAAAGTTTCTCTAATAAAATGATAGCGAACATCAACATGTTTTGTCGCCTGATGTTGCACCGGATTTAGGCCTATTGCCATAGCAGATTGACTATTTGTATGTACCGTGATAAGTAACTCCTTGCCCGTGATTTCATTCAGAAATCGCTGTAGAAATATGGCTTCTAGCTTTTGATAAGCTGGACTAATATGCACTCAATATCAAACTTCCAACGGTCAAAGTCGCTACTTGCTTGTAGCTTCTCAATCCCAGGAAGTCTAGATCCCGACATTGTACTCATTTCTCTAACTAGAGTAATATTTATAGGAATTTGGTCAATCTCACCATTAATATCTCTATGATTCATGTCACATATTCACGTTCGTACACTCTTTGTACTTAATCAGTTCACTCAATACTCAACTACTAAAGTTGCCGGTTCCCATAACCTGATAGAGCACCTCCGGCGCTATCAATAAATGAGAAGACTGATTTAAATATTTTAATAAAGCTTTTTATTAATTTAATAATATATAACGTGAAAAAAAAATGTAACATGACCTGAAGAATGTTCTACGAGGCGACAAAATAAATTTGAAAAAGTGACTTATTGAGTGTAACAGCGGCCAGTATGTAAAAGATTGCACATCTTATTGACCTTCCGTTTGATATATGTACAATATAGACCTTTTACAACTGAGTAACTAAAAACTTTCGGAACAGCTAGCGCGTTAGCATAGACCTTAGAGGATGGAAAAAAAATAAAGGTAAATAATAATAGTCAAAGGCATAGACATATACAAAGACAGCAAAAATATTATGGGTTTATACCTTAGAGGATGGTAAAAAATATTGGTTTCCATAGTCCAAAGGTTTATACTCAAAATTGTCGTAATATTTTGGAACACATTTCCAATTCGAAAGCTTGTACTTTCTCACATTGTGCCTACTCTCACATTACTCGTTGAATAGCAGAACTAGAAGACTCTAAGGGTCGTATTCTAGAACTCTACTCGATGCTCAAGTCAGGACTTGAGTATTGCAGTGAACACAGAAAATCATACTCAAGTCCTTGCCATTAGGGTCGTATTTCCAGTGCTTGTGTTTCCAGTGCAATCCTGACTTGAGCATTGAGTAGACTTCTAGAATACGACCCTAAAATTACTAAACGAAAAACTCGAAATCCTAAAAGGATTAGGTCAATACCGCCAATAATCAAAAAGACTAAGTTGGACATTTAACTCGAAAAACATGGCAAGGTACTATAATCTTAACAGAATATTGTCTCGATGTTCATGTACGTATTGTGGCATTTTGATGTAATTTCACTATTGTGGCCCTATCTTTTGTGTGAACTCCTGTAACTGCCTCCGTGGCCGAACGGTTACCACGCTGGACTGTAACGCAGAGGTTCCGGGGCGGGAGAAATTTGTACGGCCTACATTTATTTCTCTCGTTACTTTGGGTGTAATAATGTAATTGTGGTTGGCTACCTATATGTGTGTCCATGGCATTCGTGATACAGGGTTACCCTAGTGCGAGGCAATGAGTGTGTACATTATTTATTTATTATTCAGAAGAAACTAGGATTTTGTCACCTGGAACACAAATTGAATTATATTTGGAGTCTAGAAAGAGGGTGTTGTGTTGGGTGGGTGAGAGTCTATAACAAAGCGACGGAGCCACAAGAGAATCTTACTACTGGTGCCGTCGTCGCTATTTGATTCGAATCCTGTCCTGAAAGCCCTCAATTTAAAAATGAGGCGAAAACCATTACATTATCTTTTAATTACATTTTCATGTGTCTTCTAAACTACATTTATTATATAGTATTTTTTTACTAGTAAATTGCTTAGTTTGAAATTGTACTTTGCAATAGATACTTTACTTCGGTTTTTGGTTACGAATGGAGTGTGCCGGGCTGCCGACGCGGTCGATGATGATGCCTGATGCCAAGAGATCATAGGTCAAAGTCTACTAGCATTTTCGTACAGAAGTTAAATAAACTGCGGCCAGTGACATACAGTCGCTTATTGTTTACTTGATCCAATTAATACTTATAATACCCGTGTTGATCGGACACTTATTTTTATTTGTATGTTGATCATACGTATTTTACGGCTAAAGTAGCAATTTTCAACTTTTAGGGGAATATTACTTTGTGATACATTACCTTATTTACATTAATCAAGCATTGGGTGTGTGAATTCAGAAACCTATGTTACTACCTCGGGTACAATTGGATACAACAATCCGTCGTTAAGATGTGAAAAAAACGAGTTTTTGAAGGTTTTTCTCACAATTGAACCGGTTTCGTGGATGAGTATGTGCGGCACTTTTATCGGTTAGACGTAGACGATCACCTTGAACAATAGGATTTATTTTCGTCTTGTACCTACTAATGCCTACTATGACGTATGTTTTAGAGTTCAATGTTATTTAATGCATATATCGACAAAGGTTATTTAGATTACCCTTGTTACCATTTCCTTGTCGTTATGTTGACCGTTTTTAAGATTCCGTATTTCAAAAAGAAAAACGGGATTGTAAAGTTTCCTGTGTTAACACATTTTATTTTGCACTACCTACAGTCGAAGGTAGAAATGTTAGAAATGTACAAAAGACTACAACTGAAGTGGAAATTAACGATAATTAAAATTCTTGCTACAGAAAATATGCCCATCGGCGACGATATTGTTGCGTGGGCTCAGCGCCGAGAACACAAACCTCAAAAGTGTGCTCCAGGAGAAGATCCCAAAAGAACAGGAGAAAATAAGAGAATTCCGTAAAAAGTATGGCGCCACCAAAGTCGGGGAGGTCACCGTTGATATGGTGAGAATTTACATATACTTATTTTTATATTTTAAGTGAACTTCTCGTTAAATTAGTGACATCAAAGTAGGAAATGAAACAATATTTTCAGATCTAAATCGTGTTTATTTGTTTTTTCAAACAAACCTTTTCTTGTTTGGTTTGAACGAAGTTATGTGTAACAATCGCGAAAATCTGAAAACCCGAGATACCAAAGTACCTATGTACTATTTGTGTACGCGTTGAACTGTGATTGAAGTCGACGATTAACTTGTAAATAATGATGGAATACTAAGAATCTTAGCTCCTGCAGGGAAAAGTTTAATTTGCGGGGCTTTGATTATTCTCCCTTTGTAATACGACATACAAGCTCGTTTGTGATGGCGTTTTTTTTTAATTTCAGGTAGAAAATACCATATAATCTTTTCAAAAAATTCAGACACACAAATCTTGTCGAATCAATCACTTATATCTCCTGGATAAATATTTATCGACCGAGATTTCAGATATTTTTTGACATTTTCATAATCTGACAGATTTAACAAATTGCCAGGAAGATCTACTTCATAAATCTTTTTGGTACAATAAAATGTTATTATTATCTTTGTCTTTGACTAATAAATTTATCGGACTATACAGTTTAGTAGACGAATGTTGATTCGCAAAATGGCTACCAGTCTAGAAAAGCCTAAAAAATTTTTATTTAATTTTTACATAATGGTATTTTGTAGGTTTGTAAAACTTGATTTCAGAAATTGTATTCAGTACTAATAGTATTCAAAACATTACTTTATTTTCTTAATTTTGTTATGGTTATGATCAAACGTCGTACCTTAAAGTGATATCAAATATTTATTTCTCAAGAGAACAGAGTCCACGGTACTTATAATTTTTTTCAGAACTGAATCGTTTTTATTACGCAAACCATGTTTACTTCGGTAATGTTGCTCGACCTCGACACGATCTATTTTTATGTTGTTTGTATTATATTTATCTTACGTTGCTTGAAATCTACTCGGAAAATGATTTTCGCGGCGCTTCATATAAATTTTAAATTCAGAGGTAGGTACCGTATTAAAATACTGTCTTGTGTACATTGACCTACCAACAAATGGACATCGGATCTAATACAAAAACCACGAAAAAAATTTCTGAGGTTAACCTATACAAACGTAGTGACATGTAACCAAATATAAAAAACTAAAACATTTAATTTAAATTGTAACGTCATAGCAGTACTGCCTAAATTTGCTTGCAAGAATTTTAGGGCCCAAAAACACCATATTCAGGTTTTGCGCAAACACCCCCGTCATATTACGACACAAACACCCCGTATGGAACGCTTAAAAGCAATACAATATACGTTTGTCTGACGCTCCAACCGAATTTCGGTCGAGCGCAAACTGCGCAACTCAAAAAGCGCAACTCGCAACTCACAACAAACGCTCGTCTGGCCTCACTCAAATCGTACAAAAACCAAGCGATCGAGTATTGCTTGGTAAAAAACTATTTGTTGACATATTTTTTGAACCATACCTTTGTCACGAAAAAGTACGGTACACAAGCATTGACCTACCAATAAGGGCGCGTTCCCACTATGTCGTGACGACAGATTGTCGTGCAGTTTACAGTATCGTGGCTTGTATATTTAAATGAAGTTGTTCACATATAGCACGACACTATTAACAGTCGTTCACGATTTTTTATCGTTACAACGACAAACTGTCGTCACAGTGGGAACAGCTAGAACGAGTCGTCAGACGATAAAAAAAGTCACGATAAAAACGTGACGACAGATTGTCGCAGCTCCTATTGTCGTCACGTTTTATTTATCGCTATTCGTACGTATTCTGCTCCCTGCCCTCCTCTCTCGTACCCCGCGCCCTCAGCTCGCTTTGCAGTAGCCTTGGGTCGTAGCCAGAGATGGGCAAGCGCTCGGGTTTTACACCGGCGCTTTGTTAATGCCGGGTTTAAGTCGGGTTAAAACCCGAAATCGAGGGCAAAAAATATTTACGTCTAAATATTTGTTGTGAATTGAGTTTTGTTCAAATTTAATTATACATATTATTACAAAATATTTGTTGCTTTATTATCAGGACAGTTCGATTTACCTTTCTATTGAATAGATTCGCTTGAAAAGTTCATTAATAAATTGATACAAAAAAACGTTAGATCGTATGCACTTGAATCCATCTTCATTGAAAATCCACAGGATTGACAGGTGGTGGGTATTATTATGTGAAGGTGCCTCTTCTTCGTGTAATAAAAATATAGAAATTTTTTACAAGTTATTGTATATTATGTTGTTAGTGTTGGAATTATACCAAATTCTGTACCCTTCGTTTCTGCCTTCAATTTTGGGCAGAAATGGGTTAAAATTCGGCGCTACGGGTAAAACTCTGGTGAAAACACGGGCGCGTTGGATGGGTTTTAACCCACTTTGGTCGTAGCAGGTTTTGACAATACCGAAAAGAAAGCAACTTCGTATACCGTTTGACATAACCCTTTGCATAAAGCATTGGATGTATCCAAAACTTTCTTTTCTTTATTTACTTCCTCTTCCGCATTTTAAAAAAGTAATACATTATTAAAATTTCATCTTCATCTATTTCGAACACACACTACCGGCTTCCAAAAGAACATACAAGCGACTGCAGTGCATCAAACAATTCTGTCGTGCAAACGACAAGGAGGTTGTCGTGAAACGATAATTGTCGTCACGATCTAGTGGGAACAGCTAGTCACGACAGTCGTTCAACGATAAAAAATCGTCCACGACAGATAGTCGTGATATGGGAACGACTGCCATGTCTAGCCAGACATGGCAGTCGTCCAACGATAATAAAACGTGACGACATAGTGGGAACGCGCCCTAAATGGACGTCGGGTTCGCGCTAGAAAGTGTCCGCACCTGTAGGGCGTTAAAATCGCATACAGAGCATCAATCTTGCAAAAGTCTTCGTTTGTTCGAGTGACAGCGCGGTTGTCAATCATGCAGTACCAATAATAATAACTTGTAAAAATTACTGCAGTTAAGTGTAAAAAGAGGATTTTGTATCATATTTTCACTAAACAAATATATTGTGTTATCAAAACATAGTTCTCAATTGAAAGCGTTATTTTGTACAGTTTTTTAGTATTTAATTTATATATAACTGAATTGTAAATATAAATTACAAAAGCACACAAAATAATCAAATAGCTAACTGTCCTTTTTCTACTCAATGCATGCGCCAAAGATTGAAAGAGACCTATTACGTCAGTTTCAAGAAGCTTGTATAAACTTCTTGGTCATTTTCAATTGTTCGAACCACAAGCAATTGAAATATTTAGAACAAAGAAACTATAGAGTTGCTTTGATTTTAATCTTATTTTCCATAAAATAAAACCGAGCACCGTGCGGCGCTTGGTACGCCTCGCGCCCGCGTTAAGCAGCTAATTCAAACATAAGGATCGCCTCAAATTGCCACAGCAAAGCGGCGCGACGACGCTGCAATCAAAACGAGCAATGCAACGCAAACTGTATCTTCTAGTCAGCTTTACTGTTTTGTTACAAGAAATTCACCTATGATGATTAAAGAATAAGTTTTATTATTATATTGCATTTTATAAAGTGCGCCCGGCGCATCACGACGCCGCCCGCCGCGCCTTGTATTACCTTTTGAATTTTTTGTTCAAAGAAATTTAACCTTACTTGAGAAAAGTTTATATCGCCTTGCTCATTTTAATGCATCGCAGCTCTCCTCCTTGCTGCGGTAATTTGAGGCGACCCTATGTATTAGAACGTTCAACAAGAAACGTGTTCAATCACGATTCTCGTGATAAGCATACACTACTCGGTTATTATAATGCTTATTATGGATTACATTCACAACATTATTGAATTAAAATTACAAATGTATACTTCAAATAGATTTTTCAACACAGTTGCTCCATAAGTGCTTGTTCTGTACCAATTGAAAGAGTTGAAGAGCGAACAAAAACCTAACCACTGTCCCTTTACTTCAGAAGGTAGGAATTTCTTTGTTTAGAAGAAATTGCGAAATCTTAAAAGTTAATAAATTAGAAAAAGTATCACAATTGCCAAAACATTTAAGTAATTACTTGCATAATGTACAGTGTTTTAACATTTTAATTTAATAAAAAGTATAAGGCTACATGTGTTCGACTTTCTTTTCTGCCTTTTACTTTTGTTTCTAGTATGAACCTTAAGCGCCCAGTTACACGAGAAGAAAGATTTCGCGCGGCCGCCGCGCGTCGACCGCCCAGTTACCACGCTCATGTACATTAATGGCGAATCTGAATTCTATTTATTATGCAACAACATTTAAATTCCTCTCAATAAAATTACCGCGCGGGCTGCCGCGTAGACCAAATTCAAGCCAGACTAGCCCGCGTGGCCGGAACGTTCATTTAAGTTAAAAAGTAAAAGCTAAACAAATAGGGCGTATTCTGCCATGACAGTTAAGACGTACGCGATCGCCATAGATAAGTGTGTATATACTGCGATCGCTGCGCGGCGGCAACGCGGACTCCGCTCTTCGACCGCGCGGGGCGAGCGCAATGAAATTCGGGTCGGCCCTTACACATGTGTCACTACAAAAACTCGACGTTTTGGTTAAACCGATTGTATATTGTTATGTCTTTGTTTTTCTTTGTAATACACATAATACGAGTGGGTAAAGTGATTTAGCGGGTATCTTGGAATTAACTCTGCTCGACACGTTTTCAATGAAGTTCATGCAAACGTTAACCTCTTGTCTCCGAAATATAGAATATTGCCACTGATGAAAACACAGAAACAAATGAGTTGTCTCTCAAATGTATAGAAGAACAACATGTTACTTGGGCGTTCAGGTTATAGTAAAGTCGGGTCGTACAAAGGTGCGCTTGTGGTTCATTTAATCTACTTCTTATCCCAGTAAAATGATGTACTATTGAGTTATAGAGATTTGAGATTATCTCGAAACGGGTTATAACATACTGCATTTAATTTTTGCTTTGCTTTTTGTGAAGCTTTAGGGTGGCCATACACGGCCTGCTCGAGCAGTCATAGTCACCAGCTTGAGGCTGCCATTGATAACTGCTGGAGTAGTTGATACCAACTGCAGCAGTTGGTATCAACTGCTTGGTAAGTCACAAATTCAAATTCATTAATATCAGTAGTAACATGGATTTTGAGGAAGAAGCACTACTATTGCTACTTTTTCTCAGACGACGACGGCGGTTGCGTAGAATTTGCTGCTGCGAATATGAACGCGTGAAGAGCGCGGGCGGAGGTAACTGCGCGAGAGCAGTCGACAGCTCGAGCAGTCAGTGTATGCTGCTTGATTGCACGATGAAATTTCACCGCGCTGCAAACCGCCCGAAGCAGTCGCAACGACTCGAGCGAGTTGGTGTATGTGTGCACATAGAAGACTGTAGTTTGCTGTGTGGTCGTAACTTGAAGAAGTCGATACGAGTTGCTTGAAGCTGCCCGTGTATGGCCGGCCTAAAAGCGGATACACACGGCTACTTTTAGCAGCGCGTTTACAGCGATTCAGTAGCGATGCAGTCGCTAATCGTCTACCTTTATACACACGCGCGATTCGAGTATACACAACGATATAATCGCGATGCAAACGCAATGCACGTTTTAAATGACTCAACTTAAGCTACATCGAAGCAGTCACGCGTTTGCATCGGTGCAAACGTCTATAAATTGCTAGTGTCGCGATACAAATGCGCGTTTGTGTCGCTGTTAAAAGTCGCCGTGTGTAACCGCTTTTAAGAAAAACGTGGATGGTATTATTTAACTAACAACATACCAGAATATTAAGGAGTTATTTTTATTTTCGTAATTACATGTAAATACCAAATTCTTTGCAATTATATACCAGCCCCCGTAGCATGGCTACGTATGATGTCGCGACACACGCGACAAAATTGAAATAAGCGCGCGCTATTGGCTATCACAATCAGATCTACGCTATTGGCTATCACAATCAGATCTAATTTAGATAGCCAATAGCGCGCACTTATTTCAATTTTATCGCGCGCGTCGCGACATCATGCGTAGACGTGTTACGGGGGCTGAACAACTAAGTTCAGTCCAAATCCAGTCCAAGTCTAAATCGTTTCAACTTCGTTTGCCATATTATAACTGGCGGGAATCGGCCTTCACATTTAGCTCCTACAATGCTAACTTATTTCGACCATATCGAGGTTGTCAAATTCATCATTGCACAAACACCTTGAAAAGAAAGACCTATGTATACTTTACTAAATTACTATAAGTAAACCATAACAATACCTGTGCGTTTTATACATATGTATGTAAATTGCGTATGCTGCGTGTCACGTTTGTTATTGACCGTGGAAGTGCCCCGTGGTTCATTGATCTTGGTCCAGCACGGTCGAGTCATCTACATATTAAGATTACCATAAATATGTAGTTGTTGTGCTTATACAAATAGCCGTTTTGTGTTCCAAAGCGCCATATTCAATATATTGCCTTGTTTGCAAATTTACCTCATAACGAAGTAAAGTCATACAGAGAATTTTAATGCGTTGAAATTGATGCGACACAATTTATTATTTCGAATTGACATATTGATGGCTTTCTATAATAGTGGCATGTGTCAAAATTGCTTAATAAAATTCTTCAAATATATCTGACGCGCAAAGTTAGGCATAGGCTCAATGTTGTCACGTAATTATTTTTTTTTCTTATTTCTCTAACCAATGAAAGTTTTAAATAGCCAAAAATTTTATCGTTCTTTTCGTATCCAGAATCTTATCCAACCCATGTGCCTCTTCCGACTTCCATCCATCTTTTGTTGTTGTCCAATAACTCTTAAGTATGTATACTTATTTATCTAAATTTATTTTAGAAAATAATATAAAAATATAACTGCTGTAATAATAATATAATATTTATTATATATTTATACCATTTTGTTTATTTACATCTCATAATTCCTCGCCTGATCCCTTTCTCAATTTTTCTCCAACTTTCAAATCCCGTTTCCAAATTACAAAAGTTTCCCCGTTTTAAAAACATGTCAGGCAAAACACTCTGTAATTGACTAAAACGCTTATCGCGAAAAGCCTAGAGAAATAAGAAAAAAAGTTCCTTCGGCGTTTTTTTTTGGTTCTGGCACTTCGCGGTTTGCGATTACGCCACAGCAACAATTCTCAATAGGTAAAAAATAGATGAGACGCTGTAAGCTTCTCAAGTACTATATGGCACACGAGACCAAATAATGTTGTAACTCAAAAGAGGCCTCCTACAGATAACAATATAGCTTTAAATGTCTGCGTAATCGTTGTAGTCGTTTGTGCAGAGATGCTAAGAGGCGACACGTTCATAAAAATATGCAGAACTGCTATCCCACTTCTATCTGGAAGTTTCGAAGGTCCATTGAGAGTCGTCGTTCCACTACTTCTGGTATCAATTCGCCCTTTCCTGACCTTAATGCGCTTAATAGACACATTTCCTTACCCCTTGTTACTTTGGATAGGCATCGTAAAAGCGGTACTCTTCGCCTTTTGGCAAATTGTGCTTTGCCACCTTGTACCTCATTCTCTTTCCGAACTGTTACCGAATAAATAAATAACGCACACACTCAACATAGCCCCGCACTAGGGAAAACCTGTGTCGCGGGTGCCAATGGACACACACATAGACAACCACAAAATACACCCAAACTCTCGAGAGAAATAAATGTAGGCCATACAAATATTTCTACCGGCCCGGGAATCGAACCTAGGACCTCTGCGTAGCAGTCCGGCATGATAACCGTTTAGCCACGGAGGCAGTTATTTGTGAAAGTGAGGTGAATACTCGTATTGTCTCCATTTCTTCTACTACTGCTGATCTCAGCTCCCGTATAATTAGCCTTATGTAAGTCAATGCTTATACTCCATGAACTTGTACCTATCCTTACTCATGTTTTTAACTTCTGTTTAGAAGCTAGTTCTTTCCTTACTCAGTGGAAACTCGCACATGTCATACCTTTACCCAAAATGCAGACTGCACTGTTGAAGGTAGCAGATGATTGATATTCGCTTTGCGATGGACAGTCGTCTTCTCACTTTGCTTATACTTCGGACTTCAGCAGTGCCTTTAACTCTGTTGACTACGATGTATTGCTTGTTTCTCTTTGTTCTTTCAATGTTTCTCCTTCAGCTATAGCTTGGTTCGATTCCTACTAGAAATGGGCAGTCGAAAACATTCTTGAATCTGAAACTTTCCAACCGGAAAGTTTCTTGAAATATTTCAGAAACATTCTCAAAACAGGAAATTTACGGAAATTTACTTGCATATTTTTACTACCGCATATTTAAGAAACATTTAAGGATACTTCGATAGCGTGGTTGTGAAATCAAAGTATTTTTTTTAAAGAAACCGGAATAAATAAATAAATTTCCATAAGTTGCATGGAAAGTTTCCTGGAAGTTTCTCACTCGTCTGCAGAAATAAAATAGAATACTTATTTGAAATGTACATGTATTTTGCTATTTTTATGCTGTAAAAGTATATATATATATGTGTGTGTATGTGTTCGGCAAAATTGTAAGGGAGTAAACTATGGTCAATTTTGTCGACAAAAATACACCCATATTAGGATTGGGTCCTCGCTCCCCTCAAAATACGACTACATTAACTTTTATTTTGACAAAATTACCCTTGCCTACTTAAACACCTACGAGTTGGGTTCACACCCTCACTCTCAATAAAATTGTGGAATTGAGAGCACATGATATGAAATTTAAAAGAAACACTGAATGAAGTCAATACTTATATTCTCGTTTATAGATGGATAATGAAGTATTATGTATAAATAAAAATGATCACATTATTCGCAATAAGGTCCAGTCAGTGTTTTTTTTTAATTTCCAAATTGTGTTTTCTCAATTCCGCAATTTTGAGTTACGTCATTATTTGGCTTCATGTGCGATGTATATTCTGATAATATTTGTTCATGAAATCATTAATGAAAATATTAGAGATGATCCGTGTCTCATATAATTATTATCTTTATATTATATGTCTTATTTTCAGATGTATGGCGGCATGCGAGGGATCAAAGGTCTTGTTTGGGAGACTTCAGTGCTGGACCCGGACGAGGGTATCAGATTCCGTGGCCTCTCGATCCCTGAATGCCAACAGCAGCTTCCTAAAGCCAAGTCTGGCGAGGAACCTCTCCCCGAAGGTCTGTTTTGGCTCCTGGTCACTGGAGACGTACCCACCGAAGCTCAATCTAAAGCCATCTCTAAGGAATGGGCATCAAGGTAGGTAATCTTTGTCGTTATAATTAAATGAAGATACAAATATTAGAAAAGAAGAACAAGAGAGTATATATAATTTAATAATAATTTAACCAGAGCGGAGCTGCCAGCCCATGTCGTGACAATGTTGAACAATATGCCAAGCAAATTGCACCCAATGTCGCAATTCTCCGCCGCCGTCACTGCCCTTAACAGCGAGTCCAAATTCGCTAAAGCTTATTCCGAGGGTGTACACAAGTCCAAATATTGGGAGGTAAGTTCAGTCACCAAATTAATATCTGAGAAACGGTAACCATTTTAAACTGTCTTCATATCCATCGCATGCTTGATACATTGGTCAAGAGCTGACAAATATATACGAATGTCTTTAGCAATATACAATAAAATTTACAAGTGATGTCTTATTGTTTCTCAATCCTTTTATCAGCTATGAAAATATATTAAAATATTTAATAATTATATATGAAAATATTTAATAGCAGAGAAAAAATGAGCTAAAAAGTTAATATTCATATCGCTGACGTCATTGTCCCAAAGAAACGTGGTGAATTGTCCCTGCAGTAAATATGTGGGCTAGATTTCATATTGGCCGCTACATAAATCCGGTTCTGCAAGTATTTATTTAAGTTAACATTATTTGTTTACATTTTGCTTGTAAAGAAGAATGCAAAGAAAACATGACACAAAACACAACAAAAGGTTTTTAAAATACGTCATATACTTTCGATAAAGTTTTTTGCGATGATAGCTGTGGGCCTGGACTTCGCGTTAGATTAAAACCAAGAATTTATAAAAAGTCCTACTATTATATTACTCGTACAGAAGACCTTTAGTTATGCTATTGCAATTGTTTTATAAAACAGTAACGACATACTAGTGTCATAAAGTCATAACTCTCGACAGACTTTAATGTCATAAACTTTACGGCCATTTAATTTATTACAATAGCAATCTTTATCGTAATCGTTTTATTGTCAACGTTTGATTTAAAAATATATTAAAATTCAGCGAAGTATGAAATGTGCCTTTTTAAATCACGAAGGGCATTTCAAGCTGTTTGCGTGAGCTAATAAAGTAATTTATGTAAGTGATCTTCATAGGCGGTAGTGACGAAATTCTTGCTCGTCATAACTTCACGACTTTTGCTCAGGTATATAGCATTTGTATATAAAATACTGCCTTCGTAACTAAAAAAGGTCCAACTAACATTTTTTTAAACATTGAGTTATACAGGCTTATTTTTAAAATACTAACTATCTCCCAGGACTATATTACTAACACCATAAAGAACAACTTTTGTTCCTTGACTTTTTACAAAACATAATAAATTATCAAAAATAAACGTTTAAGTTTTTGTTGTACTATCTAACACTTTTTAGATCTGTATTTGGTAGTAAGTTCAAATATGCAGGCGTCCTCCGCGACGACACCCACCCCCGTCCTGCACAGAATTATTACCGTTTAGAGAGAATAAATAAATTAAAAAGTAAAATCTGATGAAATATTAAAAGTCTTGGAACAAAAGTTGTCGTTTATGAATATTTATGATGTTAGTATTTAACAAATAACCCTATGCCTGTATAGGCAGTTTTTTGTTATGTATACACATATTTAGTATGTATGTATGTATACACATATGTATGTATACACATATTTAGTATCAGGAAAGGTTTTTCTACCTATTTTTTGTAGAAACCTATCTCATTAGTTGTTGGATATACAGAATTGTGCCCTTATTATATAGTTCAATTACAATAAAATTTTATGTATAAGACATATGCAGTATTTTTTTTTCTGTTCTAAAACAGTAAATGGACCCTCCGTCCCTCTCTAAATTTGGATATCCCACCACGCCCCGTACATTGACGGTCACATTGACTGAACGACAACAAGGCTGTCGGCGAGCCGTTTTCGCGCTAAGACGGCTATGATATTTGGATATAGTTTTTAATACAGTTGCTCAAAACGTGGTATTTTTCGTACTACAAATCGTGCCGAAAGTTGGATTATTCTCACTAGTGCTTTTTACTTTCCATTTTTTTTAAATTTACTGTTGATTCAAGTCTAAAACATAGAACTAAAGAGATTGTATATTTAATTCATATTTATGTGCTTTGTGACGTAAGTCATTCATCATTAAAACTTATATTTAGTTACAAACATCTTATTTCTTTAAATTGCATAGGTGTTTCACAAAACAACGGGTTACTTTTAAAAATACCAAAATATTTTCCATAAAGATTGAGTATTAACAATGACCGGAGGTGGGTATTACGCGACACTGCTGCGTGTCGCGCCACTAAAATAGTAATTTTAATGTGGCTGAATACTGGCAACAGTTGCCATTGATTGTACTCTGAATTTTTATCAGACAAAGAAATAAAATGAGGTTTTTTTTAAATATTATTTTATTTTACTTTCAATGTAGTTTTCTCGCAAATGTATTAAATAACGTCGTTTGATACAGATTTATTATACCAATATAATGAGACGCCATAACTTCGTGAGCTAGTAGACAACGGGTCTCGAATTTTCAATTTGTATTGCCGACAAATATTACGTAGTGAATATCCATATTAATAATTATAAACTTGAACACGCAATTTCAAATACCTTGGTTACCTTATTTAAAAGTACCTGTCCAAAATACAACATTTAAAGTGCTTTTAATGTATTTAAAAAAAAAGTATTATTATAGTTAGTGAATTAATGAAAAATATAATATTATATCGATATAAATACCTAATGAACACGTGTAATGATTAGGATTCTAAATATATAATTAAAGATAATAGATTCGCTTAAGAATTTTCGCTATGTTGCCGCTCTGACCACGTGGCGTAATTGTACGAGAAAGTGCTGGGTTACCCTGCCACTTCACGCACACATTTGCGCGTGTGCAAATAGTGCCTGTAGTAGTAGTAGGTAGATAACTTTCGACCGATGTATGGAGTGTCCGAGGTGTATTTAAGGATATTCTTTTAAAAAAATACTAATTAAAATGTAACAAAAGTTTATCTATAAAATATGACGTACTTATATTAACATAAATAAACTAATAACAAATGTGTTTTAACTATTCCTTTTATCAGAAAACCATTAAAATTATAAACTGATTTATCTCCGAATTATGAATTTGCTGCTTGTGCCTTTCCTCTCATAGCAGAATGGGCAGAATAGACGCCATTGACCACAAACTCACCCGATACTAACGATGTTAAACATCAATAGTCAGCTACGATGGATACTTGTAGGGTCAGTAAATATACAGCTGAGTTTACTTCTTTTTCAAAATATTCGTGTAATACATTTGTACTAAGAAGAAAACGTAAATTGAATACCTAACGTGACAGTCTATCTTGGACGTCAATACATCTTTGACGTTATCGCCAACAATTCATCAGATAAGTTTTTCGATTCATAACTTTGTCCTTGATGTCAATTTACACTGTCATTAAATATATATTTCATTTTATCAATGTCACAATGTTACAATTTAAAATATAATGTCAAGGGATAACATGATCGTCACTAATGTAAACAATATTAATGAATATAAAAAAAAGAAGCAAAGCTAAAAAATATAAGTAAATACAAAATATTGTCGAAATACAAAATCAAATAAAAAGAAACAATTTTTTCGAAAGAAATTCTTCTACATTGTACAATTCATTATTCAACAAAAATATTTGATATGTAGATATAATAGAATGTATTATACGGAACAGTGAAGTGTTTATGATAAAACAAATTAAATTAATATATATATCAATTTGCTATTTTTTCTTCTTATAGAAAATTTATCTACCCTGTAGGGCTAACACAACAGGGTGCGACTTGCGCGAGAGCGATATAAAGCGCGAGATACTGCTGTTCTCGCATAGAGGATCTCGCGTTTTATGTCGTTCTCGCGTGAATCGTGCCCTGTTGTGCTAGCCCTACTGGATTAGGGAAGCAATTTGCTTATAGCAACTTTAATGACATGGACAAAATTTTGGGAGTGTTCTGATGGGGTATTCGCAACGAAGGACTTGTGTTCTCGCGGCCAAGGCTCACACTTATTTTACAATAAAAGCCAGTCAATTGAACGTAGAAACAGCAAATATGACGAGATAATTATATATGACGAAACAAATTGCAAATCTATGAAATAATTTCAGTACGAGATATCGAATGAAGTGCACAAATCTTCATCGAGCGTAAGAAAACGACCATTGTTGTAGCAAAAAAAAAGTTCACGTTTCTGATTAGTTCTGTAGTTGTAGAACAATGTTGCAAGGGAAAGTAAATAAATACTCTTATTAATTCTACAAAATAGCTTTAAAATATTCTTTATGATCTAAAAAGAACTGTTTCATGATCGTATGAAGAGAAAATAACACGAATTAATTAATAGTCTTGATTTGGTCACGTGTTATAATAAGCAGTAAACGGTTAAACGATTGTCACTAGTTACAGATTGCTCACGGTATTATTTGGGCTAGCCTTTAAAATCTGTAAACCTGCGATGTGCGATATATTTCAAACATTAAATGTATGCATATAATAATAAAACTTAAGTTGAAATTTAAAAAACCCCTGTGTAAAACAGTATAATCCAAAAAATTAAATAAATTCACCATTCTGCAAGTTAACTCGTGAGAACAATTCAATGTACCCAAACAAGATAGTTCTTCTCTAATTTCTTGACTAGCTAGGTAGTTTGCAGTCTGTTTTGGTTGCTGCGCCAGATCAAGGATACCATTATTGTAATGTTATCAAATTTCAGTTATAATATACTTAAGTGGAAGTAAAATAAATGTTTTCTTTTTTGACTCCCTATGGCTCAATTTTCATTGCAACGGAACGGAATGATATGGAAGCATCAATTTCGCCTCGTTGCGTAAGAAGGCGCGCGCGCGTCCTGGTATGCTCGAGCATTTCCGCGAATTTTTTAGCTGTTTCAGAGCCATCCTAATCTCGTACAGACTGATTGTCCGGGATAACCTCAGTATAGTATCTGGTGAGCTTGGCTCTAGGATCTTTTGAATCAGCAACAGGCTGAGTAATCGAGCTCTGGCTTGGACATTACAACGCTGCGACCCTCCGTCTTCAGCTTTGTAAGCTGACTTTGTCCAATAGACATGTATATGATAAATGTGTATTTACAAACAGCAATCCTTATCCGAATGAGTAGGAGAAATTAGTCAATTTGACGATTTCAAGTGTACATGAAATAAAGATGATTTGACTTTGACATTGACTTTGAAACATAGCTAAGAACAATCCTGATGAAATTAGCATTAAAAAAAAACCTCTTTTTAAATCAGTCTTACCGTTTAGAACATTGACCTACTACAAGGTACGATGCCACAGACAGACACACAGATATATAGACAAGGGCTTCAAACTTGTAACACACACGGACAACAGGATGATATCGGAAAACATTTACACTAATTGTGACGTCAGACTTAGTTGCGCCAGGTAAGCTAAATTGTTAGGATTTAAGGACCAGGAGAAAAGACGAATCATATTTTTAATAACCTCATCAACAGCCTATCGTAGTCCACTGCTGGACAATAGGCCTCTCCCAATGTGCGCCATTTCGCCCGGTCCTCAGTTCGTTGCATCTGTCTACTGCCAGTAGCCCTTCGTAAACCGTCACTCCATCTGGCCATAGGGCGTCCTACACTATGTTTTCCGAGCCGTGGTCTCCATTCAAGAACTCGATTCCCCCATCGGTTCTTCGACACTGCACTGCCACATCAATTTGCTTCTACCAGCTATGTCGACGACCTTAGTGATCTGTCGGATAACCTCGTACTTTGTCCTTCAAAGAAACTTCGAGCATAGCTCGTTCGATAGCTCGTAGAGCGATTTTCAACTGTTGAATTTTTAATAACCGAACTACAAAATATCGACACGACGAAAAATTTATTTGATTGATGCAATTAAACAATATGAGTCATATCTTTTATTATCGTGTTGACAGTATGTTTACGAGGACTCGATGAATCTGATCGCCAAGTTGCCTGTGATCGCGGCGACGATTTATCGTAACACGTACCGCGACGGAAAGGGCATCGGGGCCATTGACGACAACAAGGACTGGTCTGCTAACTACTGCACCATGCTGGGCTTCGACGATCCCGAATTCACGGAGCTCATGCGCCTCTACCTCACCATCCACAGGTAATGTAGCAGTATAATTAGTGAATCATGTTTAAGAACATTTATTTTTAGTTCCCCTGTCCATGCATTTGAATAGCCTCAAAAATATTCTTCATTCAATTAAATAATTTCGTCGCCCTACTTTCTCAAACTCGTATCTTAAAGCACACAGTAACTGACATGCAAAAAATGCATTGCATGTACTTTTGCAGGTATGTACAAAGTTCACATCACATTTCCTTCATAATTAAAAAGAGCAATGCATCCAAATAACACCCTTGATAAGAAATTTAAAATAAATAGAAAGTTCCCAAAGTCTCATCTCCTGAATAATCACTATTTATAAGATACGTGTTTGAGAAAGTAAAGCATCAATTTTTCTCTTTTGAAAAATATTAGCAATCGTGCAAGTGTTGTTTTAAAATACATGGCACTGTTATATAAGGCTACAAACAATTTAAGCTCAAGTGTCACAAGTTACATATTATATATTATATACAATTACAAAATATTTTCTCGCAATTGACAATTACTGTTTCCCAGCGGTTAGTACGTGGACACTAAATGAGGTCCTGCATCTGATTCCCGGTGGTTTTAATTTGGTAAACGCACTGCTCTAGGCTGATTATAGTCAGAATTTTCTTAAGTTAATTTTGTTGTACTCAAAGTATAGTGAATTTCCTAGTTCGAGACCAAGTAATTGATGTGGTTATGTGGTTACTTGGAGCATTTTTCATATGTGGAGGTTTTTAATAGGCTTATCAGTTTACATTTAGTTTATAAATTAATATTAAAGAATGCTGTAAACCTTCCTAAGAATAAATAAATAAATAAATTATTATTATTATTAAGCACATGGGATTTGTCAACTTATATCTCGGGCGAATCGGCGCAGTGGCAGTACCCCTCAGATCTTTGCGATTTAGAGCTCTGAGTGGCATTGCAAATGCCATTGATAGGCTTGTCGCTTACCACCAGATGTCCGACTTGTTTCGTCCCGCCACTTGATATCACAAAAAAAAATATGTTATGATCGATCGCGATACCGTCCAAGTAATTAGAAATCAAGGCTAGGGACTCCGAGATTGTGCCATTTATCAGAAAGTCCCTGTACAGTTTTCGTATTCAAAGTGACTTTTGTATCAAAGTGACATTTCTATCACCCTGAAAATCAACCTAAGAACTTAACGTATAATAATAACCTAACTTAAAACTTTTGTTTTAAGGTAATTTTCAGGATAGCATTCTCTACCTAGTTTCGGTGGCAATTTTCATTATTTAATTATATTTCAGATTACCACACTTGAATCTTAAATAGTATACTTCATGATATTAAGTTATTATTTATACATTAGTTCATGATATTCTAGAATATTTAAATAAACAAAATTGCCACTAAAATTATGTAAAGAAAACTAACCTGAAAATTACTCATTAAATCGTGACGAAACATTTGATTTATTTAACGAGTTTTACTTGAAGGCAGTAACAACTAAGATTAAGTAGGTATGCAAAGCGAATGTTAATTGTACACCTTTTATCTGAATCAAGTGGATTGCTAATGCGAATAAATGTATGTATAAGCGTGCGTGTGTTTATCTGTTTTCTTCATTGACTTTTAAGTCAATGGTTTTCTTATATAAATTTGGCGTAGATTGTTTTATTTATGCTCCAAAAATTTTTTGTAAAAATTGTAAACTTTTTTGTTTTTGTGGTAATTTTGAACCATACATTTATAAGCTAGGTTTGTCCGTGCCTTTAAAATACATTTTCTGGCATGGTAATAATGGTGCTGGAGAAGCAGTCTTACAAGTCAATATTTTTTCATCATTTTTAAATAAATACTCTTTACTCCGTTTTGGTAGAGAATATAACTTACTCTAATGTACTTTAATTTAAAAATCTTTGCTAGAAAGGAAAGGTATGCTGCAACGCAAAATTTTTGAGAATAACATAACTATGTTGTGCCTTGTGTACCATTGTAACTAAATAGTCATATTTGTATAAAACAGTGTATCGTACATGCATTCAACTGACTTGCGGATTTTTTATACTCTTGGCAATCACCGCAACCGAATCCAACGTATAACGTTCACTTAGCGAGCTCTTTTTATTATTAAACATCTATCTAGCCTGTCTTAACAACTAGAATCGACTACATGAGCCTAGCTACACTATCGTTACCTTCGTTCGCGATGGACATAGCGCTTTATGAATTGAATTACTATATTATGCAATTAGAAAACATAGTAAATATAAATTTTATCTCTTACGTTTTTGCGATTGTAACACATAGGATATGAAATTATTTTTCTCGGATCTAACTCACGTATTTTTTTTCATAAGCCGTGACCTGTATAGGGCCCGAAACGTTTCTTTGTTTGAAAAACAAATATACGCGATTTAAATCCGAAAATATAGTTTCATTTCCTAGATACAAAAATTGTGCAAATAGGAAACGGAAACCGGTATAAAAATATACATACACGCTTTGTTTTATTTTGTCAGTAAAAGCAACGCAGTATCGTAACACGAGTTTTCTTACAATACGCTTGTGCTATTCAAGGTCGCGTTAGCGTCGGATGAATACAACCAAGTTACATAGTATTTTAATATTTGAAAATTTTTTCAATATCTGTTTCGAAAATTTGTTTTCTTTAGTATTTAGATTGAAGTCTATTGAACTAATGCTGAAATACTGTAGACAGCTATTTCTTTATAGGTCATAATTTTAAGATTGTCGGCAATAAAATTGCGTTAATATTATAATAACATATTTTTGCATCTTTGCCACATGTTGCGTACAAGAGCATTGGCGTCAAAACGTGATCCTATCACCATCTCAAAGTCCAAAAGTAACTAGTTTGTTAACGTTTTTAATCTCCTGTCTCTGTACTCAATATTCTTCTTATTTATCGATATGTGGTACTGTACATAGGCTCCTGTCGAATAAAGTGACACGTCTATCTACATTTTCCTTCCAATCATGTAAATTATATGTATTAGCTTCAGTATATAATATTTTATGGTCATGAAACCATTTCAAATAATTTTTACACAATCATCAGGAACACTGTAGCTAAGCAAGGACATTATGATAATGTAACTCAATAAGGTACATATTTACTGCGATACGTGTAATTATTAAGTTTTTTTTTTTAAACTTGCCATGCTTATATTTCTAGATTACTGCCTTCAAGTTTCATAATATGTACGTTATTACTATAAAAATTATTCGAAAATATGCTTAAATATACACTACAGGTTTTTCAGAATTTGTTTATCAAGAATTTTATAATCGTGTAATAACCAAGCGACTTCACAAACAGTTATCATAGGTACGAAAAACAATGTGCACATCAAACATGTTGCTTTGTACAGTGACCACGAAGGCGGTAATGTCTCAGCCCATACAACACACTTGGTGGGCTCGGCTCTCAGCGACCCCTATCTGTCATTCGCGGCTGGCCTCAATGGACTCGCTGGCCCTCTTCACGGTCTAGCTAATCAGGAGGTATGAGATTTTAAGTATGTTGTGCAATAACGACCTTGTTTACCGTGTTAAATCGTAATGTAACTAATACTACAAAGTATATAAAACTGAATGCAAATTAGCCGAAAATGCTTTGTGTATGTCTCAGGGTCATGGTCGCAGTGCCAGTGTTCCTCAGATCTTTGTAATTTAAGGCACTGAGTGATACTGCAGACTTGTTCGTCCCGTCTCATAAAAAAATAATATAAAACTCTAACTATAATTTTGAAAACAATGGTCAAAACACTGAATAAGAGTGTACAATGCAGGTCGCCAACACTGGTCCTAGAACTCTTAAGTTTTCAGCCTAATTTTAACGCTGTATGCATACTTGTACAAATATATAGTTTAACAAAATAATAAACGCCCAGGTGCTTGTCTGGCTGGAGAAGCTACGCAAACAGGTCGGCGACAACTTCACCGAGGATCAGCTCAAGGAGTTCATCTGGAAGACCCTCAAGTCTGGCCAGGTCGTGCCTGGTTACGGCCATGCCGTGCTTAGGAAGACTGACCCCAGGTAAGGAATGAGTACGAAGAGTAAGTGATACTAAGATAATACTAAGAGCTTTACATAGTATTAAAGTCACACAATATTATCAGTCTTAGAAATGTTCTTATCGATTCCATGCTAACATCTGAATCATGCATAAAGTTTACAACGTCATAATGTTGTTAGAGCTGACATTTTTTTTAACTATGTTAACTATTATGTTGCACAAGAGCTCATTTACAGGAGTTTCATTAAAAAATACAACATGAAGGCATAAACATTCCATACATATACCTACTTCATTTGTTGTTCAATCACAATTAACATGTGACAGGTACACATGCCAACGCGAGTTCGCCCTGAAGCATTTACCCAACGATCCGCTATTCAAGCTTGTGGCAGCAGTTTACAAGGTGGTACCCCCAATACTCACCGAGCTCGGCAAAGTCAAGAACCCCTGGCCCAATGTGGACTCACACTCTGGTGTCCTGCTACAGGTACTGTTCATTATATAGCATTGTAATTTTTTTTTGAGTGAATATAACTGTCTACTATAAGAGTTATTGTCCATCTATAGTTAAGTTCAGTGTCCGTCAGTATGGCTGGACCAAACGAGATATACAAATCAAACTGTGCTCATTATTTACTATCACCTTTTTTTTACTATTTAGTACCTTTATTGGCATACTTTCTATCTTTGCGCTAACGGAAATATTAAAGAAATAAAGTGGCCAGCCATTCAGACGTCAGGTTGGCTGAACCACTTTACGTTTTTCATGGTTGTAGCAGTATATAATTTACTTTTTCAATATAACTATTTACTACCTAATTTTTATCTAAACATATTTTTTTTCCACTATTTTAGGAAGGTTTTATAAAAAGTTATTTAAAAAAATAATAAAACGCCTTTACAAAAGGTAATAGGGGTTAAAGTATGAAATTGCCGATTTGTACTGAAAATCTAAATTGTTTATTTTTTAAATTTTTAACAAATTTATTTAATCAAAATAGTTGCCATTATTATCTATACATTGCTGCCATCTAATGGGAAGGTTATTAATGCCTTTGCGATAGAACTCCGACGATCTAGACTGCACAAACTGTGTGAAAGCATTTTGTACTGCCTCCTGGGAAGAAAACTTCTTGTCACGTAGATAATTGTCCAAATCACGAAAAAAATGGTAGTCCGTTGGAGCAAGGTCTGGTGAATACGGAGGATGACGAATGGTTTCTAACTGCAGTTCCTGAAGGGTCAAAATGGTTTCTCGTGCTGTGTTTGGTATCGCGTTGTCGTGGAGCAATAATGGTGAAGATCGATTCATGAGTCGGGGCTGTTTTACTGCTAGTTTTGTCAACATGGTTCGGAGTTCGGCACAATAGACATCTGCCGTTATTGCTTGACCAGATCGGAGAAAACTATAGTGAATAACACCATGCTGAGACCACCAAACAGTTACCATTACCTTTTTATTGGTAAGTTTTGCTTTAGGACACTGTTGTGGCATTTGACCTGGGGTCAGCCATTGCATTTTTCTTTTCCGGTTATCATAAAGAATCCACTTTTCATCACATGTTACAATTCGATCCAATATTCCTTCATTTCTGTACCGGTTCAACAAGGCAACACAAGTTTCAACACGCGTTTCTTTCCGCAGATCAGTCAAATCATGAGGCACCCATTTTTCGTATTTTTTTATTTTATTGATTTGACGCAAGTGAGTCAATATTGTGGGTAAGGTAACGTTAAATCATGCCGCTAATTCCTGGGTAGTTTGACTAGGATCGGCTTCCACTATCTCTCTTAATTCATCGTTATTCACCTGTGTGGGCGGTCTTCCTCGTGGCTCGTTCTTTAAGTCGAAATTTCCATCACGAAAGCGTTTAAACCAAAATCGCACGGTGCGTTCATTAGTAGACCCCTCTCCAAACGCAGCATTGATATTGCGGGCTGTTTCTGCCGCGTTAGTTCCGCGTCGGAACTCGTATTCAAAAATCACTCGAATTTTCGCAGTATCCATCTTTCTTGTCTAAATTGAATAACAAAAACAATTGAAAGTCGATATTCAAATGTCTCAAATTTAAAAAAAAAAAATCACCGAAACCATTTGAAAAAAGTTTCATTCGAAAACCTCAAACCATGAAGATTCTATGAAAATTCAAAGAACCTATTGCAATAAAACGGCAATTTCATACTTTAACCCCTAATATTAATAC